ATGATTTAGGTATAATACAACAGTATTCCAAGATTCTCTTCAGTAGCTTCAAATGGTAACCTAAAACAAACTTGGCGATTTTAACTACACAAAAGTACGCAAAGTCTTTACGAAGAAAAGTTCATAAATTCCTTCAGAAGATCGTTTCGCAGATATCGAGCACAGATTTGGAATCAGCGTTTCGAGGTGTATCTTACAGTATAAATCGCATTCCCAATGGCCACGGTGACCGAGTATCTTTTCCTTGTAAGCTGCATGCACCGAGCGCATTTACTCCGTGGTTGGAAATTGGAACCTCCTGGTCCGGCAAACTCTTCTCCTTCACATCTTCTCTCTCGTGCCAAATATTCATCCCCTTTTTTTCAAGCTTACTTTCAAATGCTAGAGAGAAGCTTCAGCAGTCCATGTCCCAAAACAATGTCTGAGGAAGAAGATCTTGCAAGCAAAATCATTTTCTTTGCTGGGTGCCACCAAAAAAGATACAGCAAAACTAGTTAATCATCAGTTAGATTGAATGTACCAGAATATCTGCTCCTCCACTGTTTTGGTGACCTTGGTCCTGACAAATATTTAACATCAGCAAAGCAAGAAGCTGTTCAACCTAATGAAATCTGCGCACAAACCCTGTGCAAAGCAAAAGACACGAGCGTTCCTTCACAAAAGGTTTGTAAATTTTTTCCGCAAGCGAAGCAACACGTGAAGACTTTGCTTTCAACTTACAGGCGTCTACTACATCAGGTTCTAGAGGCAATCCCGCTGGAACCATTTTCGAAGTGATTGACACTTTGAGCCTTTCAGCATTGAAGAAAATGTAAGTTTCACCACTTCGGGGCTTTCAATGATTTTTTTTTGAATAATTTAGATCTTACCGTTTATACAAAAGGAAATCTCAAGAAATAGTTGGACCCCAAAAGGCTTTTTGTTTGTAGCCTTGAACTCTCACATCCAAAGTTTGTGATATTTTTTGAGGAAGATAGCAGCCAGGATTTACTAAGGTGAGGTTTGACCCACTCACCTAATAAATAGGAAGATTTATGAGAATTTTTTTTGTACACACTTAATTTTAGGGTAAGAGTGAGCACAGACACACCGTATATGCCAGCAGCAAGCAGAAGCCGTCTAATGGACATTGTGAAAACAAAAAGGAGGAGGAACCTTTGTTCACTTTTTAAGGACTTGTACGATTTTATCGCTGAGACATGGAGTAAATATCAATCCCAAACTACTAGCCATGCATGTCTAGGCATTCTTGTTTTTAGGTGGAGAGTTGGGATTTACAATAACTATGATTGGAATTGTCGGCTTAATAGATATCCGGAAGGCTATCGATGTCGCGTTAACAGCAAAACGATAGCGCCCATTGTAAGATACTCTCCGTTTTTTTAATGCATATGGAATGAACTTGGGAAATTTTCATATCAACATATTTAGGCTGCGAGCAGTTTTGAGTTTGAGCAAATTAACCGACTTAAGAAGCTCTATGTTCAAATAAACACAAAATCGGATCATTCAATTACAGCTTGTAACTCGGTAAATCTGAGGTTTATTTTCGTGTACTAATTCAAAGTAGCTTCTTGTTCAGGTTACCGTCCTGAGATGCTGCTGCTACCGAAGGGAAGGTAAAGATGATTTCTTTTATCTCTCGAAAAGAATGATGTGCCGCTAATGTGTGTCTACTTCGTTCATTGCTCAGCTCAATCGGGAAAAATTTCCCATTGAAATTCCGGTATATACTCAGTCGAAGTATGTTATTTAATTGTGAGTGTCCAGAAATTTGCTCCTTCTTTTCCTTGTCAACTGGAAGTTCTATATGCGATTTTGCCTATACCCACGGTCGCTTCACTGCTGAAAGTAAGTTCAAACGCATGTGATTTTTCAGAAAATATGTTTTTTACCTATTTTGCATTGACAAGGTTGTAATTGATGAGGGATCATGTTCAAGATTCCGCTTCCGGTGTCGTCCTTCAACCCCCTCTCCGTTTTTTTCTATTGTACCGTATATCTACTTCTTCTGCAACGAATCATGGTTTGAAAAGCTGGGTCATTTCGCACAATCAGCAACTTCGGCGAAAGTCTTTAAGCTGCAATCCATCACGATTTTTTATGTACTTCATTTCCAATGGGCTGCGATCAACACTTTTCTGCATAAGCTTTTATAAGTGGTCTTTGAGTTGGTGGGAGCATACTAATAGGCGGAGCCAGTTCATTTTCCTTTTGGAAAGCGTTTTGGAGTTTTCCTTCGCATTTGGACGATTGCTTAGCTGCAAACCCAATTCATGTCTTTTTCTATCTATATCATTGACATGGTTACCTTTTACTGTCCAAACTCATCAAAGCTTGTTTAAGTTGTAACATTTTTAGGTGATCTGGGAATTACTATTTCCAGATTAGAGGACTTGCGATGGGTGAAAAGCTTGCGCTATTCTTGGCGATCTGCTTCATGAGTTGAATTGAGGAGCCATTATTAGCACGCTTGCCATCAATGTAGTGTCAATGACTGCTGCGTTATAACGTCGACTCAGTCCAAAATGGACAAATGTTTTAGACTATTGAATCAGCAGTTCCGGTACATAAAGCTTACATGACAAACCCCGCACAGTGGCTGCTTTCCTTTCTGAACACCCAGGTAAACTTATCTGATGGTACGTTTGAACCAAATGTTACAGAAAGGAAAGCTTCAAAAACATACTTGTCCACGCAACGTCAACGCATTTTACAGCTCAAAGCGTCCCGTAATCCGTAACATGTACAAAACCGCTGCTGTAGTCTGTACGGGCGAAAAACGATAAGAGTCACTACCACTAGCACGCACAATAGCTCGCAGCAATCAATACGCAATCACGGCAAAGACCATCTAGATGCCTAAGCGAATCTATGCATAACAACAATAGCAAAATTTCCCTTTGCATACCTTTTGTATCTAACAGATTTAGTGAGGCCATTAAACGATGCATAGCACGAGCGCAGTTAACACATTCACGACACGGCCGTTTTATCGATTTCTGCCGTTTCGGACATACGACCCACTGGTATCAACTTTCTCGTGTCTTTTGTTCGACAGCGGATAGGTCTTATGGTCCGAAAGCTGGTCCTCTAATTAGGCTTACCCTAAATGTCTCCAAACTTGCGCGGACATCTCATGCACTTCCATCGTAAATCTGCAGTGCTTAGTAGTACGAACCCAGAGGTGGGTCGTAGGTCCGAAATGGCAGTACACGTACGACCCACCGGTGGGTGTATTGTCGTAAATGTGTTAAAGAACAAAGTAATGTTGGTCAACATTTCTAGCAATACTGTCAGGAAACGGTTGATTAGAAATAGATTTATGATACAGACCCTGAAAACTGCATCGTTTGCTCATACGGAAAGTTAGGTGACTGTGCAAAGGAGGGTATTGTTTTTTTCCCAATTAGAATGCTTAAGTTGTGGAACAACTTATATAGGAGAGAACGGAAGGATACTATGTATTAGAATGAAGGAACATCTGGCCAGCAAAAAAGCGGGTACAATGACATCACCATTGGGAAGACACGAGTCGTGGCACATAGAGGTGACGATTTTGATGTAAAATGCACGATATTAGCGTACAAGATCGAAATTTCGGCAAGAAAGGCATTAGAGGCAGCATGCATATTCCCTCGAAATCCGGAGACATATGAAGAAATTAAATGCTTGACAATGACTAGTGACCTCCTGCCCTTCACATCATTATGTCATCTATAATCGCAGACTGTATATATATATAGCTCTGACTCACTGAGCATCCCTCGGTGAGGTCCTCTCAGTCATGCGGACTACTAACTCCACGGTGACTAAAGGCTGGTGACTCCCACTTCAGATTATTTTCTGGTACGATCGATGACCTAGACAAGGTCTAAACGCCGCAAGTTAGAGAGGGCGTGTGATCGTATAGATTGACGGAATACAAAAGTGCAACCCCTTTCAAGTTTCCGAAGAAGACGATACTTGTCGTAACGTTAGGCAATAAATGTCCATTATAAGAACCTCTCTGGCACAAAATCAAAATCACAATGCCCAAACTTGCTTTTTTATGAAGCTGCTTTACTCTTCATATTGTCTATTCAATGAAAGACTTATTTTTCACGGCAGAAATAGTCTCATTTTTCAGGAATCGTTAGCCTTCCAAGCTAAACCTCGATTTGAGATGCGATTTATTATTTGCCCTAATTGTATAAAGCCACATGAGTTTTGCCCAGTGCCTCTTGCTACTACCAAAAGTTGCGGTATGATTTAACTTTCCTCATTTCGGTCATAGGTAATCAATAAGGTTTTAGTGCTCAACAGCTGCTCATGCACAAAGTGCGAGAATGGTTTTTGTTATCTTTGCGAATGGGAGCCACACTGGCCCATGAGCTGCGAGCAATTTGAAGCATGGTCTTCAAAATGGGACACTCAGTGTGAGTGACACATTTTACGCTCGAATGTTAGGGTTTCTGACAATATAAAAAATTCAGATGTTTACAAGGAATACCACATAGATGGTGAACAGTGCGACTATGCTGCGTTTGCGAAGAGATCTACACTGCAGGAATTGCACATTACTTGCACGAACTTACTGTAACCCTTGACATTCGTAATTTAGGTGTCAAAGCGGGCAAAAGTAGAAGCTGTCCCAGGGACTGTTGTGGACTCCAGTGGAGGCCATCATTCACACATTTGCACGACCACATCTCTGATACTGATTATAATTGGTCTTCTTTATCCATAACATCGTATAAGCATCTAAATGCTCTGGGTATAAGAATAGAAAAATGCAAAATCTCCTCTACCATTTGGCTAAGATTAACAAAATTATGAAATTCTTAAGGGTCATGAAATCCTGCCAGAATCAGTTGAGATCAAACCACTCATGAATAGAAAGGTTGCTGAGGTAAGTGGGCTTTGTATTTTTATTTTTAGAGAAGAACACAATCATCTAGATATGCGCATATGCAAGGAGGCAGAGATTTTTGCAAAACAGCGACTCCGAGAGATTTGTCATGTCTTCTATCACAGAAAACAAGAAGAAGCTCAAAGATTTGAGGAAAACGGTGCCTCTAAAAATTTGGAAGTGCTATAGTTTCAAATACGATTTTTTAGGTACTTGATCTGATCGAATTCTGTACTGGGTGGATTTATGTAGCTAAACCCTCAAACTGGAGACATTTAACTTTGGAAATATCACACCTCAATCACAGTCTCCAGTTCATCGAGCAGCAACTTCCTTTGCCAAGGTGATTATTGTGCACGTATGTCTCTATCAATGACTCAGAACCTTGGTTTTAGAGACGATTTTGTTAAGCAATTGGGTGAACTCGAAGAGGAGACTGAAAAACTCATCAAACTCATTCGGGAAAGTTTGAACCAAAGACAGGTCTGAAATTATGCGCTTTAATGTAACTTGTCATGATGTTATACATAGTCATAAAAATCAGCAAGATAAATTTCATGCTTTTGTTCTTGACAAAAACGTAATTCCGTTTACGGACGATCTTGATGCTGGTTTATAGGACAAGTTGCACTATGCAAGTCAAAATTTGAAGAATAATCCACCTTTTAGTGGTTTTCGAGGAGCTGCGGAAAAAGTTTTATCAAACATTACGGTGATTATAAAAGTGGAAAGTATCTTGAAAAACTTAGTATGGTTTGCTATTAGGTCGTTCCATAAGTTCGTGTGTTTTTATAAACAAACAAAATTAATTACAGTATAAATCAATCAAAATCGTATTTCTTGTTGTAGCGCACGACCTTTTGGCACAGCTTTTTCTGCAGTAGGACCTGGTTTAGACGGTGCAGTTGGATTGCTTAAGGTATGCATAATCACCGCATACTTGTACAGCAATTTTCAGTGCGGAACTTCTTTCATAATCGACGGAAAAATTGTGAAAAAGCGTTTTTTCATAAGGAAAAATGCGCGAATGTCGAAACTGCTCCTTTTCACCTTTCAAGTTCTCCATATTTGGAAGCTATGAGAGCCGCGTGAATCAGCTTTTCACTGGAACAGATAGACATATTTCAAAGAGCACAATCCGCTTTTCCAAATGATATACGCACCTTGCCGCAAATCAACCGCTCCCAAAGGTGTGAGGACGAAAATGAAAACGCTACGAAAATTATGGAACCACTTAATAGTTGTACTTCCTTCGTACATGTTTGATTCAATGTATGTATGTATGTATTTCCCGCTCAGGGGGGGGGGGGGGTAAATGGAGATAGGCAACATGGAAATTTTCATAAACAAAATTTGTTTTACTGTAAATTCGCCATAATATTCATTTCATTCTGTCAGAGATGTGAAAATTCAGCAGCGTCTAACTTATGCTTCTTAGGACATTTACATATGAACTGTAATCATAATAAATTGTTTTGAATTGGTTGTTCGCTTGTGCGATTTGGAGGGCTTGCACGATCCCTATCGATTTCCACAATTAGTGTACGCTTTACTTCCTGTCGAGATTAGTTTTAGAAAATCTTGTGGGTATTGAGCTTATTTAGTTGCCACACGGGCTTCGAGTGCTACCTCAACTTGTGTTAAAGCGTATAACCTAATAAACGCTAATTTAAAATCGAAGCAATAGTTATTCGACGCAGTTATGAAATTGATATCCCAAGACTTGTCAACCCTCAAGATGCTTATCAGGATACTATTAGAAATTAGCAAAAAATAGGAAGTTGTCTATATCACTCAAACTTTACCATTTTCTTGCTATAATATTAGGTTGTCCCGAAAGTTCGTTCGCACCATTTTCAAAAAATCATAACTTCTTTGCATTATAACAATTTTGCGCAGTTTAAATTTTCTCTGAAAGCGCAAAGCATGTAGTTTCCAAAAGCCCTCTGATGACTTTCTGACATGCCAGCTTGCAGAGATAAAAATGAAAGAACGAGAACATCCGAAATTCGGAATTTTTGAGCAAAAATTCTAGAAATTCAGAAACTTTGCGATAAAATCCAAAACAGCCATCATCCTAAGTTTTCTTATATTTGATTACTATCTGAGTCAAGTTTGTGCTGATTGAGCTCTTCTTTCAAAAGTTATGATTTTTTGAAATAAAATGCCGAAAAATCAATTTCCTAAGAATTTCTAAGAAATTGATTTTTCGGCATTTTATTTCAAAAAATCATAACTTTTGAAAGAAGAGCTCGATCAACCCAAACTTAACTCAGTTAGTAATCAAATATAAGAAAAATTAGGATAATGGCTTTTCTGGATTTTATCGTGCAGTTTCTAGATTTTTTAGAATTTTTGCTCAAAAATTCCGAAATTCGGATGTTCTCGTTCTTTCATTTTTGTCTTTGCATTCTGAACATGCTGGAAAGTCACCAGGAAACAGTTGGAAACTACATGATTTATGCTTTCTAATAAAATCTAAACTGCTTAAAAAGGTTATGACGCAAAGAAGTTATGATTTTTTGAAAATGGTGCGAACGAACTTTCGGGACAACCTAATAATTGGCTGGTATACCGGCTCGTTAAGAAGGGTAGTCATTTTCGTCCTATGGCCCATAAATTTTTTTTAAGAAGTCGTGAAAAAAAAGTCAGAATGTGCTTGAGTCAAAATTTCTTAAAGACATATTTCAACGATGTAAGCTTTCTAAGAAAGATACCCAGAAGTGATTTTCGGTTGCTAGAATTGCTAAAGCGTCTACTAAAATCTGAATTTACTTTTAGTCTTGGCCTACTCTTTTTGGCTAAGAGAAATTGTCAGTGATTGGATGTCTCATTATACTGTAAAGTAACACTCTTTATATACTTAACAAAAAGATTGTTGTATAAATTAGTTATAAATTAGTTTTAGTTTGTTTAAGCATATTTGAAATGATTTTTTCCATTTTTGATGCAACAGTTGTGCATCAAAAATGTCTTATATTATACAATTGCAGATTAGGAATTTATTAATGTATTAGGTCGTTCCATAAGTTCGTAGCGTTTTTATAAACCAACAAAATCATCAATTCATAGTAAAAATCAATTGAAATCATTTCATCGTTGTAGCGCACGACCCTTTTGGCACATTCTTGTTAGCTTCTCAACCTGAATTTTTCAAATGGCGGCGTGCCGGGTCCCGAGGAAGTCATCTAACCAGCGCTCAAACTACTTACTGAAGTCGGGACAGGCACCATTCATGAGATTTGCCAAAGTGCGGAGCAAATAATAATCTGATAGAGCGAGATTTGGAGAGTACTTTGGGTACTGAAGTACCTTCCAGTCAAACCGTGCAGGACAGTTTTAACGACGTTTGCCGTATGACGCCATGTTTCGTCATGCAGAAAAGCTCACTAAATCTGTCTCTTAGGCTTTTTCTGCGGTATGACCTGGTTTAGACGGTGCACTTGGATTGCTTACGGTATGGTTGACCATCGCCTATCTGTACAGCAATTTTCAGTGTAGGACCTCCTGCCCGTCCCCCGAAAAGTCTTGTTCAAGGACGCCCTGCTCAGCCCTTGATTTTTTGTAGCAATACAATCCTTTTTTGTTTCATATTGATGTGCGAGCCCCATGTTCCATAATCGACACAAAAATCTGTGCAAAAGCGCTTCTTCTCATAAGGAAAGGTGGGCAAATGCCGAAAGTGCTCCTTTTTGCCTTTTAAGATTTCCATCTTTGGAAGCTGCGAGATCCGAGTAAATCAGCTCTTCACCAAAATCAGTAAACGCATTGCAAAGAGCACAATCAGCCCTTCCATATGATATACGCATCTTGCCGCAAATCAATCGCTCCATAAAGATATGAGGACGAAAATGAAAAAGCTACGAACTTATGGAACGACCTAATAGCAAGCTGCAAGCTTTTGAAGCTATCCCAAACACTCCCTCTATTTCATGTTCCAGCAAAGTTGCAGAAATAGTATGCTGTCTTTTCATTTTACATTTAGAAAATACTTCAGTTAGTATCCTTCACAGTACATCACGGTTAATAAAAAGATCGAACTGAGGAAATGGGGGCAAACGTTACTTACTTAGACGTGCTTCTTGATCGAAAATTGTTTTTTTTCTCTCATGTGTTCTGGCTGTGTCACAGTGAACCAGTGATAGTACAAATTACTCAAAAAATTACCAAGAAAGTTTGATGCTTCTGCTTGGTCTTTTCACCCACGATCTCCTTCCCAAAAATTATGCTTTGATGAGTCATCTTGTACTTTAGGAGTGAAAATCGCAGGAACCTGTAGCGAAACGTCGCACAAGACAACGAGATCCTTGCTTTGTGTCTCTGACGCTAGATTACACAATGTTGCACAACGAATGCGCTTTTTAGTATTCACTATATAATAAAGGCGTTGTTGTTTCTTCTTCAGAAGCGTAAGAAAATGCTGCAATCTTTACTTTCCTCATCGCCACCTTACGCGAATTATGCAGATTTCTTGACTATCCTGCATTCTGTTTAGAATTAACATAACCTTCTTTACTCATATTTTTTTTAATTCTCATTTTTAGCCACAGTTTTCATGTCCTACTCCGACCCTGAAGAGTATAAATTTCTGTGAGTAATAACACTCTTTCAGAGTAGCACTCTTTTATAGCCATGCTCAATTCAATTACAGATCTCAGAAAGGGCGCTCTCTGAATTATGCAAAACAGAGGCTGAGCAAGAAGCATACGCGACATTGTATGATCCAATGAATACTGTCAGCAAGGTAGTTATATGTACAGGGCTTAACAGCAGATTTGGGTGCACCGCATCACCGTTCTCGGGTAGCCGCCTCGCCTGGACTCTGCGCCTCTTTCGCGGACATGCTCTCTAATATTTTTTGCATGCTCTAGCGATAGAAGCTCCGCCTTTCCCACGCTCGTGGTGGGAATGTGATAAGAGGGCATGTCCGAGAGAGAGATGCGGAGTTCAAGCGAGGGGGTCACACGGGAGCGAAGATGCTGGTGCGCCCGACTCTGCAATTCATAAGCCCTGTAAACATTAATTTAATTAGTAATCTTGTTTCAGAAACGCCGAACGAAAATTTTCGCGGATACGTTAGACGGGTTTTCCTTTAACGTCCCATACTCCCTGAATAAGAAAGAGAGATGGAAGAAAGTGAGCGCTCTGCTTGAAAAGCTCACTCTCTTCAAATTTTACAATTTTACAGATAGACGGCATCACTCTTCTCAAAAATCGACAGTAGTCATCAGATGTTTTAGAGACCCTCATAGTAAATAGGGTGGATGTTCCATCTCCTGGTAATCTCTCTTCAACTCTCAAATGGAGTTTGAATCTGCCAAAACTTTTTGCAGATGAAGGTCACCATAATACAGTGAAAAGCATTAACTTGGTTCAAAATGATGGCTTTGCCACATTGGCTTGTGGGAGGAGATTGAATACGGTATGTGTTTATTTCCACCTCGCAAGATCAACAATGTAGGAGAAGAATATATTTGTTCTCATAAATA